GTGGGTATATAGCTTTCCAGCTGGGGTAGGTTCTTGATGACTCTGGCTAGTGGGACCTATCACAGAGAGGAATGGAAGAAAACAGCACACCAGAAACAAGGCAGCTTGCCTACAGCTTCTTTGCCTGCCTTTGGTGCATTTCAGTTCAGGGGTGGGTTCCAGAGGCAGAATAATCCAGTACTATCCCCCCCTTTGCTGCAGTCAGGAGGAACAAGCAATGGCATGTGGGAGTATAGAAACTCAAGTTTCAAGGATCTTGAACTTGGGAATTTCAGCACTTAATTGTTCTATCTTAAAAGCATCTTCCTTGACAATGCAAGCGACCTATGTTCATTGATAATCTCAATCTAACATCCCAACTCAGTTACAAGCTCCGCTGGTATAAAACCAAATGTCGTATTACATTTCACTTCATTTGGTCATGAAAAATAACCAAATATATGATTGGAACATGTTCATTTATTGTTCAGATATTAATGATTTTCAGTATTGGGATCCTCTATTTATTTATTTAACATAGCCTATTACATTGAGAAAAGTATTCCTAATTCACAACGGAAATATAATTTTGTGGGAAACATAAATTGGTTGTTTACTTATAGATCTATACTAGAGATTGTAAAAAATAATAAAGGAAAGAAAAGAAAAAAAAAGGTTTCATTGAACACCTAAGTTATTGCTTATCTAAACATGTGGATACTACTGTTGTTTGTGCAGACCTACAATACGATGGGGTCTCTAAAGCTGGAGTCCTTTGTTCTTTATTTGGAATAATTTATTTAACTTATACTTCCTTATATATATGTTTATTTTCAAATATTGAACAGTTTCACTGAACCAAATGATAAATTATGATACTATGTTCATATGAAACCTTATAAATTAACAGACTCTAACACTTACCAGGAGTGTGAAACCTATTGACAGGGAAGCATCAAAATGATCTGATTGTAAGACTGTCCAGAGCATGAAACCAGAGGATAGTGATATATTGTTATAATAATTTTAAAACAGCACTTACTCCTTACCTTGTCGAGGGATTAATCTGTTTATAAAAGCACACTTTATCTTCTGAAATTCAACTCATGTGAAAATGTATTTGAGTAAACAAAATGAGTAACTTTGTTACAGGAATTTCTTGAAATGTTTCTGAGACTAAAATAGGTAATCCCAGTTGTGGGATTTCATGCTCTAGAAATTGGAGTTGAAAGTCTGTCAAAATTAGGGTTAGATGGTGTCCTCTTTAAAAACAGAATGGAATGGCTAAGAGGATTTTTTTAAGGGACTTTCCAGTCTGAATACTCTAAAGCTTTTTTATTGCCCTGAATAAAACTTCTTGCCTCAACCCAGGATTATAGCTGTTTTTACATATGTTATGACATACCTTATGAATACCTAGCAGTCAGAGGATCCAGTTTCTATGTCTGACCTGGTTAGATGTTCACCAAATCAGCAGTTCTCAAGATGTGGTCGTAGGCCAGCAATATCTGCATCACCCAGGAACTTGTGAAGAGTGCCTATCCCAGGTCTACTGAATCAGTATTAATCTGATACCCTAATATTTAAGAACCATAAATCCTAGAACCATAATCCCAGTCATTTACAAACTGAATCTGTGACCTGGTGCTAATCTTGTTCCTTTACTTTCTATACAGGTCTCCTCCCCTCACAATGCTTTTCCTCTGTGCTACCAAATTCTCTGCCTCTGCCCCTTCATCTTGCACAGACATCACCACCTTCTTGAGCAGTGACCCAAGTTCTCTGCCAAAGGTGCCAGCTACCAGTTCAGAAGCTAAGACCCAGGAATGTGGCCTGGCAGGGACAGCCACTAAGAAAGCAGCCACTTCTCTGGAATCATTCTTCCAAAAAGCTGCAGAAAAGCAAAAAGTCAAAGAAGCTTCAGTGTCATCTCTTACTGCCACTCCCCAGGCCCCCATGAGCAATTCACCATCCAAGCCCTTGTTACCTTTCCAAACCAGTCATGCTACAGGAACCGAGCCCTTCTTTCAGCAGAAGAGTCTACTTCTAAAGCAGAAACAGCTTAATAATCCTTCAGTTGTCTTCCCTCCACAAAATCCCCAGTCCAGCCCTAAAAAGTTAACAAACTCTTTTCCAACAGAGTATCCAGATTGCACCCCCATCTGTCAAGCAGTATTGAAGGTGGGATCCTCTAAAACAACTCCTGCAGGGATGGATTTGGCCCAGAATAGCCCAAGCAGTCTTGCTTCCGTAACTTCCACGTCTGCTCCGGAGGTGGCTCAGAAGTCAACTACTACCCCAAGTCCTGTGGCAGCTGAGGACCAAGTGCCCTGTGAGAAGTGTGGCTCTCTGGTGCCTGTATGGGAAATGCCTGAACATACGGACTATCATTTTGCATTGGAGTTACAGAAATCCTTTATGCAGTCCCGCTCCTCAAACTCACAGGTTCCTGCCAGTTCTCCTCAGGGCAAAAGAAATCCCAAGAGCCCTTCAGCCTCCAGTAATAAACGCCCTAGGCCCGAGGGCATGCAGACATTGGAATCATTTTTCAAGCCGTTAACACACTAGTGCTGCCCTCAGGCTTGCTGCAGGGTTTTAATATTTTACCTGTAAACTAGGAGATGGAAATGTGTTTACTTCTCAAGGAAACCTGTAACTTTTGTACAAGAAAAATAATCCAGTTAGATGCTGAGTTAAGACCCCCATCTCTTCACGGGCATGGATTCTAATTCCATTGCTGACAGAGATGTAAAAACGGACTTATCTTGCAGAGATACAACTGCTCGGAGTTTTTAATCATTAAAGTTTAGGGACGCAGTGTCGGTAAAAATGTGTGGGCCTTGAAGCCCACGAGAGGCACTTTCTTTTTCATCTGTAAAACTGATATACCTTACTGATTATTGGAAATCAAAGACAAGGTACTTAAAGTCTGTAGCTTAAAGATTGGAACAGAAAAGTAATGGAGAAAAAACGTTTTCAAAAGATTTTTCCTCAAGCTCTGCGACAGGGGCAGTTTAGATAACGCTTTGACCAAATGTGAAGTTTGAGAACGTGAGGTAAAGGCCTGACACCCTAAAGTGGTAACTAGTTTAGGGCAGGGCTCTATACACAGAAGCCACTCAATAAATACTGAATTTCATACAAGTAAACCCCATTATGACCACAATTTTAGCCACTGGTCCTTCTATCTCTTGTGTTTGGTCTAATGTAGAATGAGAGTGTTCGTGGACTAGTTCAGGAACTCTGTTTAGATCGGGTAAGTCATGATCAGAACTAGATCCTCTCTGGGATCTTGCTGGTTAGGGCACCTAGATGGCTCAGATGGTGACTCCTGATCTCAGGGTTGTGAGTTCGAGCCCATGCTGGGTGTAGAGATTACTTAAAACTAAAATCTTAAAAAAAAAATTATCTTGCTGGTCTGAGTGTGATTTTGAGGAGCAGGAGCATCAGCATTATCAGGGAACTTCTAAGAAATTGTCTCAGCCTCACCTTCACCCGTACTGACCCAGAATCTGTATATTAAAGATTCTCCAGGGTGTTTGAGGACTACTGATCTAGAAGATGCCAATGGCAAGCCAGGTTTGTAGAGGGCCATGACATTTCCTTAAACCCTAAAGTACAAATGTGAGGTAGTACTTGGCTTTCAGGGTCACTGGCATGTTCATCTCTTTCCTTTTGATGTTTGAATATTTAGCTTAGGGCTTATCGTAGCTTTCTGCACTTGTCCATGCTGATAATTCCATTTTCTTTTCTTTTTCTTGGTTTTAGAGAGTGCGCGAGCAGGGTAGAGGTGGGGGGATAGAGGGAGAGAGAGTATCTTAAGCAGGCTTTATGCTCAGCACGGAGCCTGTCTCAGGACTCAATCCCACGACCCTGGTATCATGACCTGAGTCGAAATCAAGAGTCAGACGCTCAGCCAACTGAGCCACCCAGGTGCCCTTACAGTACTGTATTCTTAATCTCTGTTCTTATATGTGGGAAGTCAGCTTTTTTGATCTAGGAAACCTTGAGTCACACAGAGAACCCAACCGAAGATGAGCTGAATTAGGTGGTGTGTTGGGGGAAGTGGGTAGGAAGAATGGTGTACACATCCCATCTCTCATATGTACACAAAAACCAACTGCTTTTAAAGCTTGTTTATAAATTAGGGGTCTGTATTTAGTTTGAAGAAAGTGGGGAGCATTTGAAAACCCTGAGTCTAGCAGGAAACTCTCTTCAAAACTATCTTCTTTTGAGGTAGTTGAATGCTGTGTACCATGGCCCTTTCCCTGCTAGATTTATAGTTTCCTGAAGGCAAGAATTCTTGCACATAATAGGTACTTGATATTCATTGGATGAAACATATGAAGTAAGCAATTTTAGATGATTACCAGAACTGGAACAGTAAAAATGTACATACAGCTGATGGGGGTGAGGGTCTGCCTTACACATCTTTTTATCCTCCTAAACATTCCATTGATGTAGCAAGGTATAGCTCAGTGGTTCCTGAAGATATCTCATTAAATACTGAGATCATTTTCTAAAATTTCCTTTCTTAATCCAGTGAAAAGTTTGTTTTGTTTTGTTTTTTAAAGCCTAAAGAAGCAATACTCTCCTTTGGGTACTGTACAGATCAAGTGAAACAAATTTTTAACACTTTGCTTGATTGGAAAGAGAAATTATGAGTAGAAACTTTAGTTTCACTGGACTTATAAGAGGCCAAGATGGGCGGGAGTAGTGAGTAACCAGTAACAACAATACAAGCAGCACACCTATTTTCTTGGAAATGCCAACCCTGCCCCAGCATAGTGGCAATAAGCCCATGGAGGTACGAGCAGACGGACACGCAAAGGTCAGTGTTGGTTGAAAGCTATAGTACCTTTTTTGCTGAACACAAGCTTTTCTCATAGCCGTTTATCAGCAACTGTACAGACGGAAACGAACCGCTCTTAGTCCCTGACACAGGAGGAAGTTCTTCAACCACAGGCTACTTATAGTAGCCAGTCAAGCCAGTGGTATTTTTAAAAGCAGCAGAGCTTGAATAGTTAAGGAAGCTTTTACTTTAATACCCTGGAGACAGAATGCCTCGCTGGACATTGGGCCACATTTATCATTAAATTTCTTTTGCAAGGATCACTGCTCAAAACGCAGTCCCATAAAACATGACCATCAGGTACTCTGAACACAGAAACACGAAGAAACGACTAAGGTGTGGCCAGGTGGTTCCAAGAAGCCAATTTAGGCTATGTAAACCTCACTTCGAGCTTTTCTGCATTGCTAGGGAGAGCGTGAGAGCCAGATTAACGTGACTCTTAAATTTCACTCTTCATTAAGTAGCTCATATGCTAATCTCCACATCTCTGACATGGCACAGAAGTGGGCTCCTCATCACTGTGACCATAGCAAGTGGCCAACTCCTCAAGTGCGGGCTGGTTACCTGTCTCAGCTGAAAAGGCAGCGGTTTCACTTTCTATTCTGCTTGCTCAAGAGCAATGCAAATAAGCCAGAATACCCAGGTCACAATACTGGAACGATGATCGCTGGGAGGGACAGGAAAGGGAGAATGGTAAATGATACCAGATGGGCTCTTTTCTCCATCCAGGGCTCAGTGGTGCTAGGGTTTCACTTGTCTCTAATCCTGAAGAGGAATCTAGCCCTGGAAGCTGAGCCCATATCTTAAGCATAAGCACAGTGTATTCAATAAAACATTTTTATTCTGTACAATATATATGTGTGTATTTAAATATATATATGTATGTATATATTTATATTTATATTTATATTTATATATATATGTATATGCAGAGAAACCTGAACCAACAAATCCCTGAGTCCGGGGAACCCAGGACATTAACAAAGGGAAAGGAAGGAGTCCATGCCCTAAAGTGTAGGAAATATGGCAACATCTTTCCCTTTCCCCCAGGCTCCCTGCAACAGAGGGAGGATTTAACATGGGAGCAGGAAGGGTGGAGGGGGTAAAGGATGGCAGGATGGGGAGCTGTGGGTCAGGTCCCCAGTCACTAGTCTGGGAAAGTAAAACACTGTTTGATCCAGCATTAAAACCAACAAATCACTGCAGAGGAAGGGACGAGACTGATTGACATGCAGCTGACCTTCGGTATGCCAAGCCTCAGCTCGGCAGCCCCACTCCTGGGCCAGCACAACAAATAGCACCTGTGGGGCCTATGAGCAGAAAAATGGAGAATGGCCCTTGAGTGAAGGGAAGGGAGACAAAGCTGAGGAACAGACCTCATGTCTCAGCACAAGGTGGGAGCACTGCCCCTGTGCCATTTCTTCAGACTCTGGGCCAAGACCTCATGTCTCAGCACAAGGTGGGAGCACTGCCCCTGTGCCATTTCTTCAGACTCTGGGCCAGCTGGGCCAGCTTCAGACCCGGGAGCAGCTGTCTTTTGTCCACAGTCAAGTAGAGATGGGCAACTTACATGGCCTTGAGAAGAGGTATACAAAAAGGAGTGCTTTTGAGGACCACCCCAGTTGTTGTGACAATTCCTGAAGTGCAGGGACCACACCAGCAGATCATGCCCAGTCCAGACAGTGGGGCCAAGGTGGTGGTGGTCAGCTCCCTCCGGTAGACAGGCCGTGGAGTTCCCAGGGTTGATGAGCCAACCAGGTGGACACAAAGCTGCTGAGCACTGCCCTGAATTCTCCTGTCTTCTTGAGAACCTCAGGACTGCCCATCCCTGGCCACAACAAGCTTGGCACCTCTCCAGAAAGGTGGCAGGGAGCAAGGGGCAGAGGGCACCGGTCTCTCCCTAGCCTATTAACACACAGAGCCACCAACAGCGGGGGCAGCATGGCCAAAAGTCACCTTATATATTGTGGGGACGGCAGTAGAGCTGTGCCTGCCTGGAGGAGTTCAGAAGCCCATGTTGGCCTGGGCCTCTCCTGCTGCAATGGCTTGCACATCAGTGACATGGCCGATGCCCTTGGTGACACCCTCCCGGAACAGCAGCTTGGCGCCCACCTTCAGGTACTCTGGGTGTTTCAGGAAGCGGAAACGTACCACTGCCTTCTCCCCTGTCCGCAGCTTGTCCTGCAGCAGATATGCCGTCACGGGTCCTGGGCAGTACCTCCCATCCCATTCTCTACCAGCCTTGGCTCTCCACCCTCAGGGGCCTATCAGGCTTCTACCCACCCAGAGTGGGGCTTTGTCCCCTTTACGGGATCAGGGAATTCTCTAGGAGTCTGGGGCCAGGTCTCCTTCCTTTCTGGAGGCAGAAGAATTATGACTTTCCCCTGGAAAAACAGCATGGCTGGGTCCCTCTCACCTTGGCATGGATCTTTTCCACCACTGCTGTCTGACGTACGTTGCCCACATGTACTGTCACCTGGAAGCCTCGCCGGAACGTGGTGGCATGGAACAGTAGAACTATCTCTGCCTCGAACACTGAGCAGATGGTGGGATTCATCTCGGGGCTCACCATCACCATGCCCTGGGGAGGCACAGCCCCCAGACCAAGGGCAGACCTTGCATTAGTCTCTCCCTCCCCCACCACCCTCACACCCTTTCCAGCTCCTGAATTTCCTCTTCCTCTAGGACTTCAAACACAAAGACCTCAACAGACAATATTCAAAACTCTCCACTTAAGGGGCGCCTGGGTGGCGCAGTCGGTTAAGCGTCCGACTTCAGCCACGTCACGATCTCGCGGTCTGTGAGTTCGAGCCCCGCGTCAGGCTCTGGGCTGATGGCTCAGAGCCTGGAGCCTGTTTCCGATTCTGTGTCTCCCTCTCTCTCTGCCCCTCCCCCGTTCATGCTCTGTCTCTCTCTGTCCCAAAAATAAATAAACGTTGAAAAAAAAAAATTTAATAAAAAAAAAAAACAAACCTCTCCACTTAAAACCCTTCCTTATCCCTCCCACGTCCTCTAATCCTTCTGCTAATGTTTAGTATTTGTAAGGTCCTGGATATTCAGGTTGCACGACAACGATCCATATTTAAGTATCCTGGGTATTCTAAGCCTTTTTCAAACAGTCTGTGGAACCAGCTTCTTGGGTTAGAGACTGTGTTTCCTTTGAGTTTCTCTGAAGCATCTTAGGTGCTTCTCATTCAAGCAGCCAGTGTCCCAGGCACTTCTCTGTGTTCCCTCTGCAACCCATCCTCCCACCTCACCTTGCGAAGAAGTGCACGGTCAAAGTCCCCGAGGGCCAACGTAGCAGCCTGACCAGCTCGCAGCACACGACAGGCAGAGCGGTTGCGTTGGATGCTGCATACTCTCAGCTCCAGGAAGCAGCCATCGTCCGTGGGGCCCACTACCAGCTGGTCTCCCTCACGGCAAATCCCACTGTAGCCCAGAGGGCAGGTGGCACAGCATCAGCCTAGGCCCCCCCCCCCACCAACCTGCTTCTCTGTGAGAGTCACCCAGAACATTCTTTCCCTTCTAAGGCTGACTCCCTCAGGTGGGGGGGAAAGACCCTAAACTCTGGCATGTAGGCAGGGGAGAGGCCCAGTTCAAGGTTCAGACTCTGAAGGCTAATACCTGGAAAGGCCAGTAGTGATGGCTAGAGAGATACCTGCTGCTTTGACACTGAGTACCTGGTCCCTGAAAGAGCAAATTATTCCCTTGGGTTTCACTCTCTGCTTTGAAAAGAGTCTTAAGGGATCTTTTATTTTCCTACATGCAAATGAAGTCAGTTGAATACATCTGGGGCTCAAGACCCACATTTCTCCCTCAGGGGCCGGGAGATGCCCAGTGAGCAGCAATACTGCTTGTTCCCTCGTGAACCAACAGACTAGCTTTTTCTAGCTCTTCTCATTGTGACAGCCCAATCCAGAAACAAGCACATAGTTTGAAGGGCTCTGTTCAATTCCAGGGTCCTTAAGGCCATGACCCAGCATATGGGTATGCGAGGGCTGAATGGGGTAGGCAGCAAGCAAATCAAAGCAATTCACCTGGAAAGTGTTCCTCCAACAACAGTCCCCACCTCTGGTACTGTGTAGATTTCATCCACCTGAAGCCAAAGAAAATGCTATCAATGGCCAGCCAAGCCCAAAATCTCAAAACAGGCTCAGGGCTCAGTCAGAAATAGTCCCTCCCAGGGGCGCCTGGGTGGCTCAGTCAGTTGAGCGTCTGACCTCCGCTTGGGTCATGATTTCACTGTTCATGAGTTCAAGCCCCACATCAGGGTCTCTGCTGTCAGCACAGAGCCTGCTTCAGATCCTCTGTCCTCCCCCACTCCCTCTGCCCCTCCCCTCCTCACATGCATGCTTTCTCAAAAATAAAAAGAAACAGTGCCCCCCCCCCCCCCAGTTCCTCAGCTCACTGCCTGTTCAGGTGGCCAATTACCTGAAACTCTGTCAGCTGCTGCATGAGTTCCTCCTGCTCCTTGCTGTTGGTAAGTGGTGGCAAGATATTCAGAAAGACTTTGAGCAGGTCCAGACTCTCTCCAGACACGCTGGACAGTGTGAAGATAGGAGTGACACTGTAAAGGAAGGCAGCGAATGGACAGATAAGGAAACTTCTAACAGGAAGCAGAGGCTAGAGCTCCATGCGTGCAAAAGTGAGCTTGTGGGGCAGGGGTACCTCTCTCCTATCTGCTCACCTTTTCAGGAGCTGAGTCCTCTGTCTGTGAGCCAGCCAAGGAGTGTGGATCATGAGGCTTATCTCAGGGACCAAGGGAGACAGCGAATGCCTGGCATAGCATTTTGTCTCCTGGGTTCCAGGCACTAGCAAAGCTCCAGGCTGGCTACCACAGACTCCCTCCCACAATGCCAACCAGAAAAACCACAGAACTGAGCCAGAACTGGTCTGGACCTGGGGTGGGACACCACACCCTGGGGCCCCATGGCAGCCTTCCCTGTGGATCAGGGCTCTGGGGTGAGAAAGGCTTACTTGGGTGACTGGGCAAACTGTTGGGCAGCCGTGACAGCATCATCCTCGGAGGTGACCAGCATGGGGACCTTGTGGCAGCCAGGCTGCTTGAGGACCCGCTCTAGCTGTCGTACCGTCCTCTCCACTGTGGTCTTGGCACATAGGTCCACCTTGCTGACCACGATGAAGAAGGGCACTTTCAGGGCCAGGGCTAGCCCCAGATGTTCCCTTGTGGTGCCAGCTGCCTCAGAGAAGGAAGGCGGGCAGTAGGAGAAAAGGGTGAGAACATGGGAGGGAGCAGAGGGAACAGGAGAGTTTGTCTGGCTCCCAGATTTGAGGAGGCCCAGGGTAGGAGAGTCAGCACCCCCCTCCAGCCCCGTCCCTGCCCCGATGCCTCGTACCAATCCCAGTGTTAGCACTGACGAGGAGCAGGGCGCAGTCAGGGCAGTATGAGGTGAGGCCAAAGATGGTGGTGTGTAGGTACTTGTGGTGGCCTGCCAGGTCGATGAAGGTGATCATCTTGGAGCTGCTTTCACAGATCTCTTCTGCCGTCCGTGAGTCACTGTAATTCACCACCTGGCCCAGAGCCCAGGGCTCTCAGTGCCCCCTGCCAGCCTCCCCAACCCTTTAAGAGTTGCCAGGACCTAAACCGGTCGCTGGGTGACCCTGCCTCTTAACCCTGAGCCCCATATCTGATTTGATTCAGCTGATTTCCCCATTTGTTTTCTAAGGAGACAGAGCTTGTTCAATGCCCTCAGGGTCGTCTTCTACACTACTCCGACAAGTCTCCACACTCTGCCCTCGGACTCTGTCCTTCACCACTACCATCCCATCCTCAGAGTCTGGCCCCACTGGGTCCCGCTGATTTCATGCACCTCTCCCTTGCTGTTAAAGCCCAGGATCTCGAAGCTGATGCTGGAGGTTCGGCCAGACTGAATCTCATGCAGGTGGCGGAAAAGGTTGAGTCGAGCCCGGCCCCGCCCATTGTCCAGCTCTCCCTGGGTCAGGACTCCAAGCAGAGTCGACTTCCCTGAGTCCACATTGCCCAGGACGGCCACACGGAGGTCTAGGAACTGTGGATGAATTGCCAGAGGTAAGGGCTCCAATCCCTTACATCGCTCCATGGATGGTTGAGTTAAGGGCAGTGACACTCCCTGGGGACCAAATAACGACCTGGACACCCCCAGGTTCCCGGGCCAGTGAACAACCTGCCACCAGAGGCCCTCCTGGGAGCGTGGGCGTGAGAGATAGGGAAGGGTGTGTGCTCACCTGTTGGTTGTCAGGGACCTTTCGTACCAGCACCTCGGTAATCTTCCGGGGCATGTCGCTGTCATAATCCACTTCTCGCTCCCGGAGAACAGTGATGTCTGCCCCGACCCTGTCATCACAAAGCCATACTGCCACACCTCAACTTTATTCTCCTGCCCCCCACCTTCCGCCCTCTGGACCAAATGGCCTTCCCACACCTCCCAAACACCCTACTTCACTTCTTATCACCCTTCAATCTATCCTACATCCTTTGAAACAAACAAATCTTAAATCAAGGAGCAAAAAAGCCTAGGTCCAACATGGAGGAGCCCAGAACACTAGCCTTCCCTACTTTAGCCTTTTGTCAAGAGTAGGCAGCAGAGGGAAAGTCCCTCCTTGGCCCCTCGGGCCCAAGATAACTGGGTATTCACAGGTCTTCTCCAGAGGCGGGTGAGGAGAACCGAGGGAGAATATTCGGGAAGCATACTTCTCTGCCATCCGGTGTAGGGTCTTGAGGGATGCCCGCATCTCCTCCTCAGCCAGCCCCACCAGCAGCCCATTGTCCTCTACCCCAATCTGGTAGACAGCCTCACCGCGGCCCTCCTGGAGCCGCCACTTCATCTGTGTCACCAGGTGCTCAAAGCGGTACTGGGATGGATTCACCAGCTTCAGCTTAGGACAGGCGAGGTATCGCAAGAAAATAAGGTCAGAGATACTCCTCCTAAACCCACGTGCTTCCCACCTGTCCTGCTCCAAGGACCAAGACCTTCCCTTCCTCCTTAACCGCCCCCCGCACCCCATCCCTGGCCTCTTCTAACAGTCAGTCCCCCTCCATCAGAATGAGGTGCAGGGCCCTTACCCTGAATCATATTCCTAAACTGCTATAGATAATGAAATTGAAAGGATCTCAGAAAAATCACGCCCCCCCCCCCCCGCCAAACCCCCGAGCGTAAGACTCACTTTATATTCGATGTTTCCATCTTCAGCCTGAAAAGAAACAGAGAACAGTTACCACACGTTGTCCTGACCCAACTTCTGCTTCCCTTTGATTCTTGCTGGGGCCCAGGCAGCTAACTTGAGAGAGCAGGAAGCTCAGTGGCACCTGCTTAGACAGGTGCCTGCCAAAGGTCATTGGCAGACAAACCCTCTACTCAGCCCCAGTGGACCTCTCTGAAGGAAAGGCCTCTAGGAATACTGTGAGTCACCCATCTAAGCCAGAAACTGAACCCTTAGCCCCTCCTTTCTTTGATCAATGGTGGTACATTCTTCCTAGACACAAGTTCACCCCCTCCTTTCCCCTGGGGCCTCAAAGTTTTGTCCCCAGGGGTTTAGATCTCCTCCGTGTTCAGGCTGCTGAGGCCCTTCTTTGCTACTGGTCTGGAAGACACCATTTCCTTCCTGCCCACCCCTCCCCGCTGATGTCCTCAAGAGTAAGAGGCTGCAAGAGGTTCTGGGTCAGGGCCAAAGGGTGAGCTCAGTACTGGTCACTATAAGCCTGATGAGAGAGGAGCCCAGGTAAAATGAGGGGCAGGGCTCCAAAGCTGGGGCTGAGATGAAGAGAAGAAACTCAGAAAATGCAATAAAGGGGACAGACTCCACCAACCAGACTCACATGCCTCAGATGATGAAATCCCGGATCCATCCACATAATTTCCTCTACCTCTTCCCTCTATCAGGGGACCCACCAGAGAAGCAACCTGTTGCCTGACCCTTCCCCTCTAGGGAGCAACGGGGTAAGAGATTTGCTTGTTCTGCCTGTCCTGCATTTTGGCACTGCTCCTCCCTGGCCATTTCTTTTTCTTTTTTCCTTCCTGTCATCATTCCATCTCTCCAACGCCTTCTGACTTCCAGCCTCTCACAGGTCTTCACCCATAATCTCTGCTTCATGGAATATAAGGGAGATCTTTTCCCATTAGCAAAGACCTTCCTTTTTATCATCTTGCTAAAAATGAAAAATTAGGATGGGTGGCTGCAGAATAGTGGTAGAAGGATGACGGTCTAGGCCAATAGTTCTCAAAGTGTGGTCCCAGGACCAGGTAGCATTAGCACTGCCTGGGAACTTGTAAGAAATGCAGAGTATCAGGCCCACCTCTGACCTACTGAATCAGAAACTCCAGGGGTGAGGTAGCAATCCAGGGGATTCTGATACATGCTAAAATTTGATAACCACTGGCTCAGCTCTTCCCCTCAGTCCTCCTTTCCTAAGAGGGACGAAATAGCAGTTACTCTCTGCTTTAGGGATAGATGGAGCAAGAATGTGGAAGCTGTCCCTATTTCCTCATAGGACAAAGGGCGGGAAGACCTAAGCCTGACTGTTGTCTGTTTTTATACTGTGTACTCAACGATACAGACGGAACATATTGCTCTTTTCCCCAGTACTCCCCTGTGGAACAAGTTTAGAAAACTCTCTCCTCATCCCAGGATTGAATCTCCCTCCCTACACAAGGATGAAGCGCGGGTATTCTACTCCGCTCTTTCCAAGGGGATAAAAGTGGGATCATCTTTCCCCACTACTCTTCCTGAGGTTACTGGACCAGAATGGGAGGGATCCTCCCTCCCCACTCTTCCTCGCTGGGGTCTGTCTGACCAGAGGGAAGGTACTCCCTGGGGTCTTAGGACCGGAAGGAAGGGTTCTCCTCTCCCCTCCGTGTTCTGACACCGGAAGGGGGTATCAATTCCCTCTGTCCCGCCTCCCTGGAGTACCGGGACCGGAAAGAGTGGTTTCCTCTCACCCGCCACTTCTTATGGAGCTCACCTCGGGGGGCAGGTACGGAGGGTTGTTGGCTTTGCCTCCTCTGTTCCTTCCGTTCTTCTTTTTCCCCTTCGGGCCCCCGCAGCCGCTGCTGCCGCCGGCCCCCCTTGCCTTAAGGGTTCCGCCCACGGCCGGGCCTCCTCCGGGCCGGCAGCAGCCGCCGAACAGCTCCGATACCCGCGAGTCCATCCGCCGCTGCCGCCAGCCCCCCGCCCGGCCCCTCCCCCCCCGCCACCACCGCCGCCGCCGCCGCCGCCCCTACTGCCACCGCCGCGTCCGGCCAGCCAGAGGAGAGCGGGGTGGGGCCCTGCGCAGGCCACGCCCCCACCCTTCTCTGGCCCCGGGTCGCGTCAGACACAGCCGCGGGGCACCACGGGAGATAGAGTCCTCAAGTCTGGGATCTCCATTAAATGAACTGCCTGCTGCCCTACAGCTCCCAGGAGGCATTGCGGCTCAAGGGGCCGTGGGGCGGCTTTGGGGCGTAGGCAAGGAGCGAGCCTTTGCGCGCAAAGGCCTAGGGGAGCTGTAGTCTGGTTCTCAATCTCGGTGCTGTGAGTGGGTCTTTTCTTAGGGCCTCTTTAAGGGGAAGTTTAGGAGCCCGGTGGACTGGAGGTGGGACAGTCACCCGAAACCGAGGGCTTACATCAGAATCGAGCTTTGTGGGCGCTCCAGGGTTTGGGCCCTTAGCGAGATCCCAGACAACAGGTTTTGGACCTGAAGAGCTGCAAAATTCACGGAGACTGATCCCTCCAGCCGGCTGGCTCCACCCCGCCTCAATTTCTTCCCCGACTGCTGGCGTGCCGTCGGGGTGAGTCAGGGCGAATGCCAGGGCGGAGGCAGATGGTGGTTAGCCTAATTATGGCTGTTATTGTTGCGATGATTATGCCACCTTTACACAGTAGTCACTGCTTTATTACCAGGCTGGCACCCTCCGGGGGCTGGTTTTAGCAACCCGAGACACCGCGGTGCCATCGACACGAGGCCCAAACCCGTAAACCAGCCTTGCAGCCTGAGGGCTACACGGATGCCCACAGCGAGAATTACCCCTCCCCTTTGTTTTGAAGTAGAACCAATCCCGGCACAGCGAGTTTAGTTTTAAAATAACCAGGGCTGTGGGAGGGGCCTGGCCCCCACTTGGGGCGGGGCTGGGGCTCCGGTTACGTCAGCCACTGCTAAGGTTGTGGCTGGGGGGAAGTAGCAGGTAATAGAAACTTGGCCAAGGGCCCAGGGGATTATTGACTTTTGACTTTCCTGCCAAGCTATCTCTCTTGCTTTTTAGGGCTCTTGCAGTCGGCAAAGAGGAAACACAGCGACAGAAACCAGTGTACAAGACACGAGAAAGGCAAAGTGGAGAAGCATGTTGCTGTGCTGGGAGTCAGGACGCTAAGGTTCAATTCCTAGCCCCATGGCTGTCTCATGATTCACCATTCACCCTGTGCCCACTTCCCCTCTTTCACAAACATCGAGATGCTCTCACACAGCCAAGAAGTAAAAAGGCCCTTCCCTCCAGATCTCAGTTTTCCCTGGAAAACTAGAAGCAGCAGCAGCAGCAGTGGCTCACCTCTGGTGATCCTTTCAGGAGTTCAGACCTGGTGGAGTCCTTGGCTTCCCCTCGACCACAAGGAGGGAGGCAGGGTGGTTGCTGTCCACGTGGCATAACTCCCCAAAGCAGTGGGAGTAGAAGGACCAAAATCTGTAAAAGGGCCTAGCAGATCCAGCCAATTTTGTGGTCTTCAGTGGTTGAAAGCACACATGACTTCTCTCTTCTCGACTCTGTTCCACTGAAGGAAGGTTATACTGCAGAGGTCAACTCCAGCCAGTGGCACAACCCCTCCAGGGAAACTGCTAATAGAGGCTGAGACTGAGGAAATCAGGAAGAGATCTCAAGAAGGATGGGGGTTGGGAGAGCCAAGTCCATTCCCCCAACATTCTCACCACCACCAGCTCTGGGCTCTCTTGATAACCAGGGCCTGCTGCACTCACCTGATAACACTTGTCCTCTCATCTTCCTGGGTCTTTCAGCCACCCAACACACACTTCCTCCATCCCAATTTTTTAATTAAGCTATTTATTTATTTATTTATTTATTTATTTATTTATTTATTTAGAGAGCACACGAACAGGGGAGGGGCAGAGAGAGAGGGAGAGACAGAGAGAATCCCAAGCAGGCTCTGCACCACCAGCACAGAGCCGATGTGAGGCTCAAACTCAGAAACTGTGAGATCATGACTTGGGCCTAAGTCAAGAGTCAGATGCTTAACTGACTGAGCCCCCCAGGAGCCCCGAGGTTTATTTTTATGTTTAGATCTTTAATCCATGTGGAATTTATCCTTATGTATGAACTAATTTGATTTTTTTCCCTTCTAAACGGATAGGGAGCTGTCTGAAGTTACTTGTTTTAAAAAGTCACCCTCATCGTACACTAAGATCTACATACACATGGATCTGATTCTGGACTCTCTCCTGTTTTATTATTTGTTTGTTTATTCCTGATCCAACACCACAGTATTTTAATCATTGTACTTTTATAGTATGTTTTGATTTCTGCTCCTTACTTCCTGAGACACACACCTCCTGGCCTTCATGACACACTTGTTTATTCTTCATTATACCTCTCTGGCTACTCCTTACTCCCCTCCACAGTCTCTTCTCTCTCTGCTCATCCCCTAAGTATTAGTGTCTTCAGGATCCTAGCTCATCCTTATTCTACTTGCCTTCCCTGGGTGATCTTATACACACCTATACTGATGACTCTCAAACACATCTCTATTATCAATAGTGTTCCTAAATATCTCTTTACTGTCCAATGGAACAGGAAACTCACTATATAAAAAATGGAACTCATCTTTTCTCCATACCTACACACCAGTAAACCTGGTCTTCCTTTAGTGTTCTCCCTTCATTGAATGGCACAACTGGCCATATAGTTGTTCATCTTAAAAAACCTGCTTGTCTTAGTAGTCTCTATCCCTCCTCCTCTTCCTGGGGACAACCACCAAGTTATGGTCATTGGACATCCTAAATATCTCTAGGGTTCACCCAATTCTCTCCACCCTACCGTGACTGCCATAGTTCAGGCCTCTTTTATCAATGCACTTGGGTAACCGCAGTCACTAGCTTTATTTATTTATTTATTTAAAAAAATTTTTTTTTCAACGTTTATTTATTTTTGGGACAGAGAAAGACAGAGCATGAACAGGCGAAGGGCAGAGAGAGAGAGGGAGACACAGAATCGGAAACAGGCTCCAGGCTCTGAGCCATCAGCCCAGAGCCCGACGCGGGGCTCGAACTCACGGACTGCAAGATCGTGACCTGGCTGAAGTCGGATGCTTAACCGACTGCGCCACCCAGGCGCCCCGCAGTCACTAGCTTTAATTGGTATTCCTGCTTCCTCTCTCATCCTCCCTGTAATATAATCTATCCACTGCAGCCAGTGTAGAGATTAAATTTATAAGTTTAATCATGTCACTCCCCTACTTAAAGCTTTCAAAGCTTCCTCATCCCCCTACAGGATCAAGTTTAAACTTTTTAACATGGCTTATAAAGCTTTGCCATAATCTGGATCCTGTTTGTCTACCACAGCCTTAACTCTTTATAATGTGAACCCTTTTCATTCCTTGGATGAAGGATGCTCTTGTCTCTCAAGGTCTCCAGGATAGGTAGGTCCTCCTCTTTACCTTTACTCATTCTATAGGTCACAGTTTCTTGGGCACATTTCCTCTGGGACCACCCCTCTCGTCCACATCAGCTAGGTTAGGCACTCGGTTCTTCGCATCCACAGCCCGTGCACACCTCACTGTATATAATTCATCACGTGGGATCGTATTTATAGGTGGCAAACCCCTTGAGGACAGCGACTGCCTCCTGTTTGTTTGCCACAGTCTCCAGCACCTAGGACAGGGCCTGGCACGAAGTAGGTGCCCGAGCGAATAGTGAACGCAGGAGAGAATGCGTGAGGGCGAGGGTCCTCTGGAAGGCAGAACTTAGTGTCTGAGACAGCGTGGGTTCTCTGTACAGTTAGGGCTCGGCGTACCTGTGAGGGAGTGTTGCTAGGGAGCATAGGGATCAAAACCTAGCTCGGCCCAGCCTCCATTACTGCAGCGGTGCAGTGCCCCCGCCCCTCCACCCCCGAAGCGGAAGTGGAGGCGTGGGCTTCCCATGATACCTCGCGGGGCGCCTGTTCAAACCGCACGGAGAAGAGGGAGGAGGTAGTGATGGCGGCTCCGGAGCCGGAAGTGCTGTGTCCGGCCACAGTACCTGGTAAGGACTGGGGTCCGGAGCTCGGGGAGCCTTGGGGACCTGTTTCTTCTCTACACCGCTCTCCAGCCTTTTAGCCCATGACCCTTTCTCTGGCCCTTCTTCCTTGTCCCCATTTCCTGGCTCCCGCCCGGCCCCACGGACTCCATCGCCCCCTCGGTCCTGGATCCCACTGGTTCGTCCCCACTGTTGTCTTTCTCTGGGCGGCACTCTGGACCCCGCTTGATTACAGTTACAGTAAACTAATTTCCCCAGATCAGGGATTCCACTTTCTGAGCGGAGGCCTGGTCACGGTGTCTGAAATTCTCCTTTCCCCCAGCTTCCATCCGGCGTCATTTAAATCCCCGTAAGCCTCTGGGGTCGGGAGTCTCCTAGCCGCCACCCACACAGGAGTTTGCGGAGGGAATGTGTCGGGCTGTTCCCTCCGCAGTACAAGGGAATGAGAAGACTGACTTTGGCTTTTAAGTTTTTCAAGTGTCTGCCTTGTTCCTCTGCGCACCTACTAGAATTGGAATGGTATGAGAAGTCAGAGGAAACCCACGCCCCCCAGATAGAACTACTTGAGACTACCTCCGCTCAAGAACCTTCCAACCTTTCGGAGCCCTTTCGCCCCAGAGACTGCATGGTGCCAGTGGTGTTTCCCGGGCCTGTGAGCCAGGAAGGCTGCTGTCGGTTTACTTGTGAACTTCTAAAGCATATCATGTACCAACGCCAACAACTGCCTCTGCCCTATGAACAGCTTAAGCACTTCTACCGAAAACCTTCTCCCCAGGTAGGCACAGGCTTTGGGAGAAAGCTGGTGGGGAGACTGTGATGATTAGACCGTAAACAGCTGTAAAGGGGTTCTGAAGAGTCTTCAGGGCCTGTCAGCCTAAGCAGCTGTAAGGAATGTGTTTCAGCCCCAGGACTTTAGTTTCTCCTCACCCCAGTCTTTGATATTGATAGCCTAACCCCTCTCTCATTT